ATGGCTTCGGCCGCCCCGATCCCCGCCAGAACATTTATTAGTGGAAATTACCGGGCTCTGGGCTACCTTTTCGCCCGCGCTACCGGTTTTAGGTTCGTCCGGGGGCAGGTCTATATATTTATTATTTTTCTCTCCCCCGCCCCTCGCGGAAGGGAGTGATTTAGGCGGAAGAGAGGGGCTCCGGGCTTCCTTCCCGCGGGACGAGGCGCTCCGACGCGCTGCCTGGCCTGAGTCAGGGCACAACCCGGCGACTGCTTCCACCAAATAGTCCTCCGCTCCTCCTTTCATCTCACACTTAGCCTATGGTACTCGTATTTAAAATTGCGGTAGAATACGCTTCAAACGTTCAAACAGAAAAAATAATGCTTCTGGAAATGCGCTTATCCACGACAACGCTGCTGTAAACGATCAACTTTTGAGGCAGATGAGACGTGCTTCATAATCCAGTATACAGAGCCGACCTAGCACCGAATTGTCTAAAGCCTGTTTTACGCGGTTATTTTTCATCATTTTTCATTGGTGTAGAAAAGTGACGGATGGTCCAGTCTGGATGTAATTCCTCCGAAAAAATGATCCATGCTGCAATGATCCAATTTTTCGGTACAGATTTTATCCAGTTTGACTACCGCGATCCTGGTGTCACTTTTCGGAAGTTTCTATGGTTTGCAATGCGTGTGGTGCGATTTGTTCCTTTGGTACAGAGAGCATTTTAACGTGTTGAGCTGTAACGTGAAATAATATGGTATTTAGTGAGAAATAAAACACGTACCGGGTTCTAATGTCTCGTTAGTGTTAATATAATCTAACTTAATTCGTTACGTTAGGCGGTATGTTTAACTGTTTGGTCTTCTGCGCATGTTGCAGCATCCAGAGGAAATATTTTCATCACGATAGCGTGTAGGAAGCGAAACACCGTGTAAAGCTCTCGATCTCATTCTTCCACTTTCGATCCCCAAACAGTAGCGCACAGAGATTGACGTTCCTTTTCCAACCATTTTATACACAAAAAAGAATGAAAAAACGACCGAGAAAAACGGGTTTAAGAGACTAACATTTTCAAAATAAGATTCAGTATCAGTCTGAGGAACTTCAAAGCAAAGTTCAGGCCCATATCACCTCATTGGCGGCAATGTTCGACATGTGCATACAAATGCTCATTAACAGAAAAGGTAAATGTTTAAATCTTCACGGCGATTTTGTAAAATAAAAATAACTATGTTTATAGATAACTTGTAATAATCAATTGATATTTTTCTTTAATATTGTCTTTTTGTTTTAGTCCATCGGTGGATAACAAAAAAGGTCCATGTATTTCATTTATAAACTTTTTAAGTAGAATACCCGTTCTATCTTTCTTTCGCTTTGTATATAATGCATTGTATTCAACAAAATCTGTGGATGGCATAAGTCTAGCAGACCAACAATTCAATGTTCTTCTTGGAAATTTCTCTTCTGGACGTTTCTTTACGACTAATTTTTATTTCATAACATGAATATCATTCTTCTTTTAGCCTGGATTAAAAGAATTATTAAAGCATATCTTATCATGAAATTATAGTGTCTTATTTTATGTGATATCTCGCTTATAATTATTTTTCAATAATAATTTCAATTATAGAAAGAAACTCAATCTCTCTGCCAAAATGTCCCGATTACAATAAAAGGTGCTGATAATAAAGTAAGCAAAGTGGGCAAGTTACATTCTGTGTTTTTTTCTCTTTTCCGTCTTTCCGAAGAATACGGTTCAGAATAATGATCCCTAGAAAGGATGGGAATACAGGAAGTTTTTGTTGGGAAGCAGAGGGCCTCTTTCCAAGGACTTCCGCGAAATCCACAATAGAGCCCACAGAAGAGGAGCAGTCCGGAGGATAATCTGTACTCATAAACCTTGTGCAAACATGTTTTTGTGTAATACATGTAAGTTCTAAAATGGTGATCGTAAAGGGTGGTGCAATTTTAAGAATAATTAAAAAATATTAGACCAGATTAACATATTTAACCCAGATTAGAATTTTAAAAATCACAGACGACGTAGCAACAGTAATGTAGGAAGAGTAAGTAAACTATATGAAAAAGGAGAACAAATCATGTTGCCTGTTAACACGTCTTTACCAAATAACATTCTTCCACTTTATATAGGTGTACAGTGTATCATTGTTCGGATATGAACTTCCTAATAAACTTTCATCTGAAGTATTTAATTCATCAATGCAACAGCAAATAATTTTACATCTTTAAAGCGAACAGTAGCCGAGATAATTACGAATTTAGTTTACTTTCTCCCGAAAATTTGTCAAAGTATGTTGTACTATCTACACTCATGTGGGTTTATAGTATCTTCAATGCATTTAAATCGGGAAAAAAATAATAAAATTTCCCAAGAAACGCATTGAAAAATAGGCCCGCTAGACAGAACTTTGAAACTTTTCATAGCGTCATTTTTAATGCTAAAAATTATTATATAATTGTACGAAAAGGTATTAAAAAACAAACACCATCGAAATCGGTAGCCAGATGATTTAGTGTTTTAGATATAAAATGCCATCAGACAATTTTTATTTGTAGAATTCGATAAAATGGAACGAACCAATGTAACATTTTTACTGCGCTGATACTTGTTACGACTTGTTTTTGCTGTAATTATTCGGGAGTCGAGTGTTTTAAAATCACTGAATGTTAATTCCCTAAGAGTAGATAATCGCTCACCAAAAAAGAATAACAGATAACCAAATTACACTTGAATAAAGATTAGGTTTTTTTGCAATGAAAATTCGATAGTTAAACATTTTGCAAAAAGACGAGCCCTCCCCGGCCCCGCCGACCGCAAGGCTGTGGGCGTCTCCACGCACCCCCTCTCGCGACAACTTCCAGAAATCCTTTTCTTTCTTTTTTTTTTTTTAATTTATTTCTTCTCGTTCGACCAAAGGTCTTTCGAGGGGTTTCGGTTTTAC